CTATATACAGTCCTCTTTTAGTGAGGAAAGACACTGTCCTTTCATGTCATTTTGAGGACTGATTAAGCGATTTAGTACATACATTTTTTTTGTTGTTGCTTATGCATCCTCACGAAGTCTGCTATAAGATCAAAGTTAGACATCATATAGGCGATTGCACCTATAAAATTGGGTAATTGATACAGAATGTGAAAGATGAATAACACAGCACCACACAGCTGATTCGTACAAACTATAGGACTCGTCGGTGATTCTAGAGGCCAAAAACGTGTAAAATCCAAGAGTTCTAAGCCACCGTTGAAACAGAAGAGTAGGTACATAAAAAACTTTCGTCTTCAGAAAAACCCCGGTTTGGATATTTAAAGGGTTGGAATACTATCCTAGTATGTCGAACACGTTCGTTAAAGTTATTGTTCAAAATAATATTCACTGTACAATGAAAATAACTATACATAACATTGGAACCTTCGATCATCTTCGACTCTAAATAACCCTCTCTTTTAAACAAATATATTTGGCAGTCTGCCAAAACACATTTAGACATAGTTACTATCATATATGACCTATTTTTGTTCAAAGGTCATGACTATAACGGTACAAAGTGTCCTATCTTTCAATAACAAGTCTCCCGTTATGCATAATGAAATTCTAAGCGACTTAATCGATTTGATATAATTCCAACGTAAAGTGACTAAATTTTAAAATAAATTACCATAAATAATGCATCGCATGAACACATAAAAAAGAAATTCAAACCTCCTTTGTTTCCTTTGGGTGGAGATGACGTTTGTTTTGATTTCTCTAACAATGTGTTTTGTTTTCTAATTTTACCTTTTCTTTTATCAATATCCGCCTTCTATTTATTTTCAGTATTACACGTGAGTAATTTATTAAATAATTGATTTGTCGTCAATACAATTATAAATGTCGTGACGTAGATATTTGGCAGCGTGTTTCCCCAACGTTTCCAGGAAGACTCAATATACGGTGAACTTCAGTTGATTTCCTTGTACGAATTTCTATGAGACAAACGTATGATATTAAACTGAATTTATTCTGTGTTGGTCAACACGATTGTCAATCAAGCAGTAACTGTCACTGTATCCGCCCATAAACATGCACAACCTTTTGTATGACTTTAAAACCGCAAAAAGAAATAACGCTAATTAACAATCATAATATAATTGCATAAGATTTCACTTCATTAGAAACAAAGGGAGATTGAGTGTATGCGTTCATCATGTGGCATGCCATATCCTTGATGATTTAAATGCCACATAATCCCGCCCGACCAACGAAATGTCAACGCTGTTTTTCTTTCAGGTAATTTGAATGTATCGTTTTTGTGGTCAACTACGTAAATGACGTAACCTTTGTTATTAAGCATGGAATTTTAAATATCTTACGGATCCCTGTCACAGTGCAAGCAAAACACTCGGTTTTCACGAATTGGGTTATATCCTCTTAATTTGGTTCTGATATCATTGGACAAAGGCTCAAAAACCGATCTGGCCCAATAAGCACAATCTCCAAACTCTTTTGGCAGCGGTACTTGGATCCTTAATTTTATATTTCTGTTGAAATGACATAAACCTACTATACAGTATTAAAAATTTATAATTTCTGTAAATTTGTGAAATCAATGGGTATAAAATGTACACAATAAACATAAACTTGCAACAATAAGGTGTTAACTAGTTTTGACATTTGCTAACAGAAGTAAAAATAAGTTAAATCTGAAATATTTAAATCAAGTCACTAAAACTTTATAGACAATTTTCTTGAAATGAACAGCAAAAATATGTAGAACAAAACAAAAAGTATGATAAACTTAACACAGTGCAATCAGCCCGTGTTTACTTGCGATACACACTGATACTGATATTCATTTAGTTTGGTGTTATTTGTTTTAACGTCCTATTGACAGCTGAGATCATTTAAAGAAGTGCCTCAATGTGTGAAATGTATGCGTGCTCGTGGGTATGTGTGCTAGAGGCAGGGAATGTTGACGTAATAGCCTACATCTGATAGCGCGGATCTGATGCCGACATTTGAGTGCTACTTCACTGAAATACCATGCCGAAGGCACCCAGCACAGTATTTCAATCCGGTCACTCTACAGTGACAACATGTGTAAATCAGTTGTTGCAGTAACCTTAAATGATGAACGTTCAGTAGTGAATAGCCACTACTATGTTTAGTACTTTCGTATGTCCCGGCCAAGGGACAAAACCAGATGTCTACTCCACTTCGGCGTACGCTGAACACTAAGGCCGAAAGTAAGGTATTGCAAAGCAAGGCACTAGGATCCAAAGGCTTTCAGGAGGTAGAGTGAAAATATTGAGATCCAAAGTCGACTTTTACGACATGTACTGAGAAACAGCAGGCCTTTCTTTCCCAGAACCATCTGGAAAGAAGCTTTTTCATAGTATTTTGTCACATTTCCGATATAACTTGTAAAATAATACATATCCCCTACCGTGACATTGTCTAGTCATTGTGCATCAATTCATTGCATTTCTTGTAAAAATTATGCAATGGTTCACAAACATTTATCCTTACAATCATCAATATGTCTTGAACTATTACACATTTTCCTTAACCTTGACGCATTTGGTGGTACGGACTTGAGTGAGGCAGTTGTAAGAAAGTAACCTTTTCGCTTTGACTTATTGTTTTACGAAGCGTACGAGCTGACCATAGTGAACGTGATTTTTTTTGTAGGTCTTTGAATGCACAAGGTTATTGACACAATTTAACAATTGATGAGGTTTGTGTGAGCAAAGCGTATTAGATAATACATGTAGGAGAAAACAGGAGAATAACGCCGACGAGCCCATTCAAACTGGGGCGCTTACGGTTTTTATCAAGCGTTGAGATATAAAATGATAGCGCCAAATATTACAATGTTTAATCTCACACTTAATTTATGTAATATTATTTTCTTAGTGCCACTGTAAAATGTAATGAAAACAAAGGTTCATGGTTTTGAGAAACTTTCGGTTTTACCATTGAATGCCATATATATTTCACTCCTATGGCAAAATATACCGATAGTTTCACTGGTACGTCACCCGTGTAGGTTCGGGGAAAGAATCGACCTGCGTCATCCCACTGCATGATGGAAAGATGCTACTAATGTTGGCTCCTCCTTGCAGAATCGGGGCTGGTTTCTTCCTTGTTTTCTATTTATGGGACATTGAAGAAATCAATAATTGACCTGCATGTGCATCGTAAAAGGCGACTATCGTGGGAGCCTCTGTAGAAAAGGTGTTTTTTCTCCGTGTCTTCTACGAAGAGGACATGAACGAGACTAAAATGTATTTGATGACCCAATCGCAACAAACAAACAAACGTCACACTCAATATCAATATTCTGCCATACTCGTGAAATATATACGGTATTCAAGGACCAACCATTAAATATATCTTCCTTTTTGATCCATAAATTCATAACATCTTTTGATAAGCAATTAAATCCTTTTTTATTACCATATGATGTGAGTATACCTAAAAGTTGATCAGTTGCCAAATTTATCAATTTCAAAATAACCTGTATTTTTACAATTGTTGGTGTCATAGTCGATTGAGCAACATGAATCTACGATACTGTTAGCAAATCGGCAAAGAAATACTCGTGTATTGTGTATTCAAAATGTATAACTATTTTCCTCACCTTGTTTTAATTTTAAATAAATCAAAATCATGAAAGACAAACAAGCAAGGTGATGATGTAGGTAATTATTAGAGCGAGCTGTCCGTTACTATATATACCTAGATACAGAATTATAATCAGTACCACAGTAATTAGTCAAGATAAGTGGTAGGTGTTGTTTGCCTGCTAAAGGTCAGCTAAGAGTCATGGTGAGTATATTTTCAATGTTTATACATTGTAAGTTTATTTGTAGATATTTCTGAAATGGATATAAATTTCACTTCTTTAATGGTTAATTCTGAAATGAAATGCGTGTTATTTTAGAATTTTGTTTGGAAAAAATATGATTTATTTTACTTTATATAAAAACACCACAAATACAAAATACAATCTTGATTCTAGCTTGTTTCATAAACATCTATGTAATCAATTGCTTATAATCATACATATATTTTTTCAAATTTCTTTACTTTATGAGCGGTATTAACTTTTCGCAACTTATAGACACCATTGATTGAAATTGGTGTTGAAGAACAGGACAATATTTTAAAATGACATATTGCACGGCTAATTTTAGAGTTATATATAAATGTTCATAACAAGAAAAGATAATACAACGATGCGAATAAAATGCTTTCAACAATGACATTCATTCAGGACAAATTGAAATCAGCTTGTGTAACAGTTCGAGGTTTACAGGATTGAATCACTCTTTTAAGATAATAATGTTTTAAATGTTTATTACAAAACAACCACATTTTATCGCTGTTGTCAGTTTGCAGTTTTACCATGCTTAAATTGACATTTTTAAAATTCAGATGAAAACAACACACACATCAAAAAAAAAAAAATGTAACAAGTTAACATTTATTGCTAGTTGTTTGACATTTGTATTGACAATGCGTTATTTTGAATATTAACGCGACCGCATTTCTTTATTAGAATCTGTCGAACAATAGCCTTTTATGCTGCTGACTTATTATGCATGAATTGCATACGTATCGTAATAATAATAATAAATAAAAATTCGAGGTTCTTATAAACCGCTTTATTACAACCTTGTTCGTAGGTCGTCTCATAGCGGTTCACAAAATATCATCTGTGGTTATGGGGCCTTTGCAACCAGCCAATATCTTTCTCAACTCCCTCGGGAGCAGACAGCCGGTGCTTCCATTTCGGCGCTCACAACTAGCATTCTACAATTCTAGCACTGCCCAACCACGAACTCATTTACAGCTGAGTAGACTGGAACAAGCAGTGTAAAGTATATTGCTCAAAGATACAACACAGTGCCGTGCCGTGACTCGAACCCGAAACCCTTCGGTCACGAGCCCGGCGTCCTACCACTAGACTACCGTGCCTCCTTGTTTATACATATATCTGTTACCTTTACATAAATTGCAGTATCGTTTAATTGTCTCCTTATGTCTTTGAATTTGTTCAGCTATTTTGCAATGTCAGAATGTAACAAATATATTACGATCTTGTATATAATTTATTACACCAAAAATATCATCTCATTTCAGGCGATTCGACTCTTCGGTTTAGCATTGGTCGCGGGTTGGATCACCTACAGTCATGCCTTTGTTGAGCCCATTCCGATGCCTGAAAATTTGGTGGAATGCTATGAGTTTCGCACCCACAACATCAGTATAACTGAGATTCCCTCTCAAGACATAAACATGTTTTGTATTACCCAGTTCCTCTACTCCACAACCGACCTTCGTCCGCAACGTCCAATTGCAAACGAAACGATCCTGTATGCTCAGGAACTTTTCAGACGGCTTGTTAACAAGCACGAACATCACAGGCGAACCAAGAGGCAGTTCAATCCTATGGTGAGGCGTGAGATTCGTACCCTCAGTCGTGACGAATGGAATACATTTACGGCAAGACTGAATGAGTTAAAACAGAGACCAGTAAGTTATTCATTCCTACAGTTTTTGCCAGTCTGTTCAGATCTTTAATCTTTTTTATTTCATTCTTCTATAGTTATATTTCCACTGCAGGTTTTATGAATAAGTTGATATAGGTATTAACAGAAGAAATTGCGTTCATAGCACTATGAACGCAATTGAATCAGCGTCAGTTTGAAGATTCTCCCCCCGCCTCAGATAACATGAGACAACCATAAGATGCAATCATCAGTATCGAAAATATAAGGCAATATCTCAATTCAGGTCAATACTCACTAAAAATTTAGAATCTAAATATAACGATTGAACGGTATTTTTTCAATGTTCATGTAGGTGTGAAATTTTTAAAAAACCGCCGTTAAATCCTTATCAATTTATATTTATATTTGCCTTTTCCAAATGTGATGTTTATGATATATAAACTGTGTATGGAACTTAATTTTTCTTCTATACTGAAATTCTAATCATCATAATCAAAGTATGTTAATTAAATGGTAACATCCTTGTTGGGGAATAAGATCAATTTTACGTCATCATAATGTGTTTGAATTTGGGCAATTCCTTATGTTGATCCTTACTTGGCACCTAATTGCTTTTGTCAACATGCTATACTAAACCCTGTTAACATTTATTGGGATGCGAAACTCAAAGATATCAACTTAATTTGCGAATCCTTTCAAAGGGAACGATATAAAAATATGTTCCACATCTATTTTGAAATAATTGTTACTCACTAACTGGCTAATACACCTTTGGCGTGTACGGCAGAAACGAAGCTTTTTTTGTGCATCTGTGTTATCTTGGGGCCTTCCCCCTCTTCTGTCTTCCCTCTCGTATTCAAAAGATTGCGATGTATTATAGAATATTTAACATGAACATAAATAAATGTACTAAAGATATTGAAACGTTCATTGGGAAGATAATTTAGTATCATAGTGAGATATGCTTAAAATTCTACATCCATTTATGTTAATTTGTCTTTATGTCTGTCTTAGGTTGGTGATATCTACGGATATGACGCTTTAGCAGATATCCATAGACTTGTGGAAAACTCTGCACACAACGGACCGAATTTCTTAGGCTGGCACAGAATTTATCTGGCACTGTATGTATCTAGTAGTATCTAAAAAAGAATAACTACTTTCATCCACTGATAAATTAGGCACAAACCGTCGTTTGTATATTATTTTTGATATGTATATACCGTAACATAAAACCCAAATACGTTGCACCTATAATACTTTTGGACAAATCAGTTCAGGTGATTTATCCCGTTGCTAATATACAAACATAATGTTCACCTATGTACAACACATTTTGACAACAGTTGTAGATCCTTCTACTGATACGGATACTCATATGTTTGTTGCAGGCTTGAGATTGCCTTAGGTGTCCCGGTACCGTACTGGGATAGCTCTTTGGACTACTATATGGATCAGCCCACCGATTCCATCGTCTGGACTGCTGAGTTTTTCGGGAACGGTTTCGGTGCAGTGGAAGAAGGTCCGTTCCAGTGGATGACACCAGAAGGTGTACCATTGGTTCGAAACATAGGCAACGACGGAACTTTAATAAATAGCGATGTTATCGCGGCGGTGCTGTCACGTAGGTTCCATCGTCAGATCGTAGAACCTAGCCAGAACCCACGATTTAGTTTAGAAGTCCACCATAATGGCCCTCATGTATGGATGGACGGACAAATGTCCGCCCCTGCCACTGCAGCTCAAGATCCTGTATTCTTTATGCATCACGCGTTCATCGATTATATCTGGAGCCTGTTTAGGTCGCTGCAGAGAGCAAATGGCATTAACCCGGAGGAAGATTACCCACGGACCAGGGTGAGAATGCACCAGCCATGGGATAGAATGATACCGTTCGGTTTACGAAACTTTCATGGCTATAGTAACTTCTTTGAGTCGTTAAACGTGTATGATCCATCTCCTCGCTGTCCTGATTGTGGCGGCAATCCATATCTGGAGTGTGGGGGAGATCGCTGTCGATCTAGGGTTGCACTGTCTCCATCCAGACCATCTGAGTTTGGATTCGTTGGGGGAGTTCCAAGCAGCTTTGGAGGTCAGGCAAGGTCACAAGCTACACTACAACGCACGGGGGCGCTTCCCATTGGCAGGCGATTCCAGGCATTCTTTAGGGATCCAAGAGTAAGAGGTGATACGATGCCGAACGCACCATCGAATAGAATAAGAAGAAGTGTGTCAGACAACAAAGAAAATGTGACGAAGGATAACAAAGATAGCGCTCAAATTAGCAAACCATATCAAAATACCTTTGTATTAAATGGTGTAAGCAATGTTGATCTCTGGGTCTTTATACCAGTACGTATCATCTTTGAAAGACCTCCTGAGATCCAATTCGAATCCTACCTCATTCAGAATGGAACACTCGTTAAAAGTTCTGACATGTTTTCTCCAGCTGAATTCAAAGGCCTTAAAGTTGAAATAAAGAGGAAAATGCCAGCGACCTACAAGAAATGCCATGTATCCGGTTCCGGTGCGTCCAAAGTTTACGTCCAGACTGACGGTATTGACTATTCCGGCAGATACAAGGATTATGCTGTAGTGGATGAGAGATTGCCTTTCTCTTCCTCTATGACGTATATTGGAGCCAAAAATCCAACTGAAGGGGCTTCTCAGTTCTACATGACCGCGTACGACTCGTGTGGACGTGTTTGTAGACCCCAGTGTCTCATTAACGGAATCTACCGACCATGCTCGGGAGCTTTCCGCATTTCTACATCATTACCAAAAATGTATGGAATTACATATGAAGATGCCGTTAAAGGAATATGGAAGAAGGGACAGGGATTGCTTTCCGAAGCAAATGCGTCAGAGATTCCAGTTACATTCCTTTGTGAAATACAGAGTACATGGCCTTGGTCTCCGTAGGTACTGCAATTTCATCTCAACCGAATACCTCTTTTTTTACAATATTCTCTTTCGATATTTTCTTCTCATAAATGTTGTCAGAAATAATTCTATGTCCAATTCGTATGCAGCTTTTTCGAAGTTTATATAACACTTTATGTGATGGAACCAAATTAAAGTAATTGTCAGATGAACACGACGAACACGCTTGTTTATTGTTGTTTCTTAAAATATACCATTATCATGCCTATTCTTGAGTTTCTTAAACGTGTCTATGTGTAATCATTATGGGATCTGGGTCAAAATCTGTGACTCTCTAGACTCGAAGTCGAGAAAATCTTTGAACTTTCGCGGAACTGATGCCGACTTTACATACTGTCGGAGAGGCCCAGCAGGACATCCCACCCGGTCAGATTATTCTGACAATGAGCGAACCAGTCGTCCCTCTCCTTTATTGCTGAGCGTTAAGCAAGAGTAGAAACTACCATTTTTACAGACTCTGGTATGTCTCGGCCAGGGGACATTACCTAAAACCGTCCTCACAGGGGCGAACGCTCAACTAAAGTCCAAAAGTGAGGCATTGCCAAGGGAGAAATTAATAAGAAAAAAGTTGTTTAGAAAGAAGAGAAAAAGATAAGATCCCAAATTTAGTCGCCTCTTACCATCATGCAATGGGGGCAGCAGGTACAATTCTTACGCCATACCTGCAGGGACTTTGGTGAAAGGTGCGCTACAACGAAACAAGAAATAAATTGTTCATGAATCAACAGACATACCGGAAAAAGATTCTCAGTAAGTGAAAGTCAAGTATTTTCTGCACCATAAATGGCGTTCATTTTGACGAGTCTTTTTACATACGAGACCTCGTTTAAAAAGGAACACTCTTACTGTTAAGTCCTCTTTATTTTGTTTCAAAACACTACTTCCAGACATCATTAATATCATTACTGAAATAACACCCTCTCAGTCGTGAAATCAAGTACATTGGTGCATTTGGGAATAACTCTACAGAAAAACATACACATAAAGATATGCAAAAAAAATAATTCTTTAATGTTTAACATAAAAGGAGAAGCAGTTATTACATCAAAGAGACTTTTAGCAATTACTGTCCGTTACTCACACGAAAGCCCTAAACATGACGAATACATAAACGTCTCTGCTTACAAATATGTCAGTATAACATTCAATGCTACAAAGTGATGTACAGTATTTGTCCAGTGTTCAAATAAAATGTCATTATCTTCGCATTGCTCACTGCACAACTGGTATGCCGAGGTAGAAAATAATATAATAGATGCTGTTACTCATGTAATCTTTATCGTCTAGTCTATTGAGAATAGAGCCGAGATTGTTTTTATTTATCTTCTTATTTTCTTCTGTATTTTCTTCATGATAGAAGGAAAACCGAATGACTTGACATGGAGTGATGTCACATAATATATAAATTTACACCCTCTACCTTTAAATAATTTCGTTAAGTGTTGTATGTGACAGAAGTCTTTAACTCGTGAAGCGATGTGTTGTGACAGTTATCTTTGTGTGGGGGTGAAAGCTACCACAACAAAGCCTAGGGACGTATAATGGTTAACAGACCTATAGTAATTTAGGATTTAGACAAGGCATTACATTAGCATTCAAATGCATCTCATCAACGATAAGTTCCTAAATGTTTTTCAGTGTAATAGACAGCTATACTTTCGATGTTCGATCACTTTGCTAATTAAAATGTTGATACAACGTTAACATCGATAACTATTTTTAAACGTCACCATTACATCCGGAATAAGATTGTTGCTAAGAATACTAAGATAATAAAAAAAGCATTTAAAAATCAACTGCGTCAGAAGAAGTATATTTACATACGCAATAACGAATCAAAATAATAACGATATTAAAATGCCGCCCGTTTTAATTAGTACTCAGCAAGATGTAGAATGTGTATTGATAAGAAATAAAAAATTTGATACTTACGTAACAGCATATTTTACACTAAAATAAAACTATGTGTATACTCAATAAGTTATGATATATGATTGGTACCATCATTGTAGATACGGTAGTTATGGTGGAATATCCATTTACTCATGCACACCTAAAGATAGATGACTAACCTTACTGTTTGGCTTGTGATACTGCAATCAATGTTGAACAATTGATGTAGTGATCTGAAACAGGTTCATGATATATACTTCAATGTACAAAACATGACAGCACTTCTTTTAACAAGTTCCCGTGACAATTATTATCAAGTTGTTTTTTTGGCAAATAGGCCTCTGTATGTAGCAGAATATAAACTTCACACCGTTTTGAAATATTGATGTTTAGATTTACGCTATATTGACCTTAAAGCTTTTATTGATATATGTGAAATCTCTCGAGTTTATTTCTGACGCTTTAGGCCCAAATTGACATTTTCTTTGTGCTGAGGAGCCGCTAAGCTTGAACAAAAAACACCTTGATGTGATTATAATACGTTCATGTCTTCCATTTAATATGAATTTGCATATGAAAAAAAAAATCATAACGAAAAGAGGAGGATAAAAAAAAACCGTGTGATTATCAAAGATAAACATGATGTATTAAATTACACTACTGTCACTTCAAATCTAAAAAAAATAATAAAATTCCCCAATACCTATTATCCTATAACGTGTTGATTTGAATAATTTCAGAGAATAGAAAAATACGAAGGAAAACAGGAAACAATCGGTAGACCAATCAATTAACAGTTTACAAAGTGTCATGGAGATCATGTTGTCTGGACTGATGGGAAATGTTTGTCTATATATAAATCAAACGAAAAATGCATTTACAGTCAGCCCATTAGGCCGTGACTAGGGGACACACATTTTATACGGACATGGTAAGTTAATTTTCCGTTTTCATTTTAATATAACAAATATATATCTGAATACATGAATTTATACCATTGATAACCATAAATTATGGAGTTTTGAAAACATTTTTAATAATTTTGTAATCAATTCAACGGTAAATATAAGTTATATATAATCAAGGGAAAAAATTAAAACATTATCAAAAAATTTAATGTGAGATTACGATAAAACCGTTCCTGAGTTTTTGCACATATATGACTTTAACATTATATGAAAACCTTTTTCATTTACTTCCCAATGTGGATTTTTTTTTAGTTTAATTTAATGTTAATTTTTGATATTTAAGGTATTATTTAAAGAAAATATACAGTATCGTCAGCTTAAGGGAAACTGTATCAAGACTGTTGATATTGCATCATTGATAAGAAAATTTAGAAGTGTTATTCACAAAACGAGAACAGTTTTAGAACAAAAGGACTTCGCTAGGCGTTGGAATAATTTTCTTCTTCCAATTTTAGGTACATATTAGTTTATACTCCATGGTAAATTGCAAATCCGGATTGAGATTATCCTATTTACTGTATGCCTCTCTTATAATAGCATAAAGACAATATGAAAAATATGATGATAAATGTTGTTGAGGAATGTATTCATTTTTATGATACAGTTATGTAGGTAGCAATGCAGACCCTTTTCTGTCATGGCCAAGTTAAAATGTTGTATTAAAACAATATAAATATAAACTACATAAGTTTTATAGCCGTTTTCATATGTTTTTGAAATTGAAATTGATTTTGAAACTGTGAAGACCCTTTCTCCAATTTACATGCAATTTAAGAAGGTGTTATGTTTCAAAATGTATGTGTGTTGGCAATTATATTCATTGCATGTATATTATTTCAAATACGTTTTATTTTCATTACACTGAAGTATGGTCAGATGCTATGATAACTCTATTAAATATTCTTTCCAATGATGCACTATTGAAAGTCTGAGTTCATTGGAATTCAGCGTCAGTAACTTAAGAATATCACTAAAATGATTTTCAAATTTAATATTGTTTATCAAAACTGGCATAAATTTGGTCATTTTCGTCATCGCTATCAGGAGATGATAATTTGGAATCACAAAACATGTATGGCATGTTTGTGTTTTCAGTTATGAATATACTATATACCAGAAAAGTGTTGGCGCGGTTTAACTTTCGTCTTTTTCGCCCTTCGCAATGAGGGCGAAATTATTATGACAGCGAATACTAGTGCACAGCATACCGTATAAATTCATTTAATGTGAATAGCGAAATCAACACTGGGCGAACATGAATTTTAAAGGTAATGGGCGAAAGTTTCTCGGTATAAAGTAATGAAAATATCATTTGTTCAAACTTTATCTATATGTTTCATGTATGTATCGAAGCCAAACATATAGTCAAGTGTTTAATTACTGCCTTAGTACTTTTCACTAAAACTATTCTCTATTTTGTAGATGAACATACACCACGGTGCCTGGCTGTTGGCTACAGCAGTATTTACTGCTGTTGTAACGTCTGTCTACGGATTCATTGAACCCGTTGCTATGCCGGAAAGCCTTGACGACTGTTATAAGTTCCGTACTAAGAACCTCAGCATCACATATATCCCTTCACAGGACATAAATATGTTTTGTATAACGCACTTTCTCTACTCCACCGCCCATCTCCGCCCTCAGCGTCCGATCTCCAACGAAACTATAGCGTACGCACAGGAACTATTTCGTCAACTTCTTGCGCAGCACAACCCGGAGGAAGGACATCGTGTGAAGAGGCAATTCAACAATGTCCGACAGGAAGTTCGTACACTCAGTAGACCTCAGTGGAATCTCTTTACCAACAGGATAAATCGGCTCAAAAACCTTCAGGTAAAGAAAAACTTGATGGTTATCTGTTTAATGGCGAATTCATGCATAAGTTACACACATATTACTTATATACGAATATAAGTTACACACAAGTTAATTATACATAAATAAGTTATAAACAGTTAGCTTATACACTAGTAAATGATACATAAGTGTACTCAAATTATATACAAGCAATATTTAGATAGATAAACACAGATAACTAATACGGTTGTTTATTTCGTAATAACTTAACACATATAAATTATACCATGATTTTGTATACGCAGGTAACAATACCGAGATTACATAACACAGGTAACTTATAACAGTATAACCTATGAAAAGTCGACTTGTACCGTTATTTCGTATACACCGGAAACTATATCATGACTTTTTGAACATGGGTACAATGTATTTATAGCGAAATAATTTGTACAGGGGAAAATGTAACCAAGATTATTTAAACGAGACAACTATAAAGAACAGAAGTGAGTCTATGAGACCGTAGACCCTTCCTAACCCAGAGATAACAATATATTGCATTTATACATATAAGAAACTTATACAAATTTCGGAATCACACGATTTCAAAGTTCACATATATGAGACATACTTGTGTCGAATCACAAGTCCCATTTGCTTTTTAATGCATTGCAAATTTTAAACTTTACAATTGTTTTGGGGTTGACACTAATTTGAGTTCTTTATATCGATGCAAATTTATCTGAAACACTTTCACTCAGAATTGTTATACAATTGAATGATTGAGCTAATTCCCATGCAACACTAACTTGCTTTGTTATAATCTAAATTCATATTCCTTATTAGGTAGGAAATGGAATGAATCGTTATGATTCGATAGCGGATATTCATAGACTCGTTGTTGGCTCGGCACACAACGGACCTAATTTCTTGGGATGGCATAGAATATACCTCTTAATGTAAGTATATAATTGCAGTATTCAACATATTAATATTTTATATATCATTCACTGTAATTACTATCATTATTACATGTTTGACGGCCCATCAACGCAAGAGAGGTCATTAGGGCCAACAAATGGTCGTCAAAGACAAATACAAAACAAAAACAACATCAAACAAAAGACAAACGTCAACTTGAATATTGAAAATGGCTAAAGTGACTCATGTTTAAAGAAACCCTGAAAATGGCTGTAGTGACTCATGTTGAAAGAAACCTTGAAAATGGCTAAAGTGACTCATGTTTAAAGAAACCTTGAAAATGACCAGAGTGACTTATGTTTAAAGAAACCTTGAAAATGACTAGAGTGACTTATGTTTAAAGAAACCCTGAAAATGGCTAAAGTGACTCATGTTTAAAGAAACCCTGAAAATGGCTATAGTGACTCATGTCTTTGAAGTGAAATGGGAGTGATATTTGCAAAGAACTGTTGTACACGGATATCTTTGGACAACATTTCGCGATTTATAAATAATTTTCAATTTATGATCAGATAATTTTATGACGGTGTTACTTTTTACTTGATTTTTTCAGTAATGAAAACTAGTTTTAATGTAAAAGAAAGCATTAATTAATCACGTAGTTTTAATAGTGTATTATTGTTAAAGAGGATAATATTGTCTGCATCAACTTTTATTATAGTCAAATTAATACAATGAAAGCTGATCACAAAAGTTGAAACTCATTATGTTGCAGAAATTCTGACGTCTTTATTTATTTAAAACCCCTTTTTTTTCAGATTACAAATTGCGTTGGGTGGTGTTCCCATTCCTTACTGGGATAGTCGGCTTGATTTCCGTATGACCGAACCAACCGATTCAGTACTTTGGACCTCTGAATTCTTCGGGAACGGTTTTGGAGCTGTAACGGAAGGTCCTTTTGCAAATTGGCAAACTCCAGGAGGATCTGCTCTCATCCGAAATATAGGAAACGATGGATCACTTGTTAATGATGAGGGTTTTAATGCAGTTTTAACGAGAAGATTTCACCGGGAGATCGTTGAGCCAAGTAACAATCCCATGTTTAGTCTGGAAGGTCACCACAACAGCCCACATGTATGGGTGGATGGTCAGTTATCTGCCCCTGCCACAGCTGCCCAGGATCCAGTCTTCTTCATGCATCACTCCTTCATTGACTACTTCTGGAGTCTTTTTAGAGCGAGGCAAAGGTTGTTGGGTATTAATTCAGCATTTGATTACCCTCCAACTGCTAGTCCTGCACAGCAACCATTTGCAAGAATGATACCGTTTAATTTGCGTAATATTAATGGGTACGCCGACTACTTTGCTAGTATATCTGTCTATGCACCGTCGCCAACTTGTCCAGCGTGTGGGGGTAGTCCTTATCTGGAATGTGTATCGGGGAGCTGTCGATCTCGTGTAGGTATGGCTCCAGGAGGAGGAGGTGGTATGGCGATGGCGGCAAGTTTCGCTGGAAGAGGTGCTATGGGTGGGATGGCTCGTGCAAGTATCGGTGGACCTGAACGAGCACAGGCTACAGCGAGGGCAACAGGTGCTCTCCCAATTGGTGGAAGGTTCCGTTCAGCTTTCCGAGATCCAAGAACAAGAGGCGATACCTTACCTAATCGTCCAGAAACCCGAGCAAAGCGAAGTGCGCATATAGACAATGAGACCACAAGCGACTCCAACGCAAACAAGGATACAACACAGATAAACAGACCGTATCAGAATACATTTGTATTGAACGGAGTAGCGAATGCAAGTCTATGGGCGTTCGTTCCTGTTCGAATTATCTTTGAGAGACCTCCCGAAGCTCAATTCGAATCTTACTTGATACAGGACGGCAAACTTGTTAAAAGCTCAGATATGTTCTCGCGTGCAAACCATACCGGTTACACGATTGAGATTAAGAAAAAATTACCAGCGACCTACAAGAAATGTCATGTATCCGGTTCCGGAGCGTCGAAAGTTTACGTCCAGACCGACGGTATTGACTATTCAGGCAGGTACAAGGATTATGCTGTAGTTGATGAGAGAATGCCTATCTCTTCCTCTATGACGTATATTGGGGTCAAAAATCCAACTGAAGGGGCTGCTCAGTTCTACATGACCGCGTTCGACTCGTGTGGACGTGTTTGTAGACCCCAGTGTCTCATTAACGGAATCTACCGACCATGCTCAGGAGCTTTCCGTATTACGTCATCATTACCGAAAATGTACGGAATTACATTTGAGGACGCAGTAAAAGGCATCTGGAAGAAAGGTGAAAGTCTTGGTGCAGAATCGAATGGAGCTGGAATACCTGTAACGTTTCTTTGTGAAATCCAATATTCCTGGCCATGGATCTCAGCAGCGAGCCAGTGAAAGTTCAAGGTCTTTGCCTTGACAAATGGATAATCCGAAATTGATATAACGACTGTTTGTGAAATGAAATGATATTTAATGTAGTGATACTGCAACTGGTAATTGTTTAAACAATATGAAATTTAAATAATTGAGACAATATTTTCCTTTTTAATATTTATTTGATTTCATCTTTTCACATTTGCTTATTCTTTTTAAAATTACATCATTCTCATATTACATGTAATTAAGTAAATCCTGTCATAAAACTGACTTCTTGTTCATTGTTGAATATATTGCAAAAAGTTATGGTATACACATTTGCAAAAAAATCAAACAAGCTAAAGATTTTCTGAATTTGCATTGATCGGTTATCTTTTACATTTGTATTTATTTAAACTTCATAGCAGTGTTCCTGTTACATATATTATTCATGCTCACATGCTGTATTAACCAAGTACGTTTATTGCTGATATCTGTATTGTTTTTCGATCAACAGAAAGTCTTAATATTATGCAGTCTGTCTTCAACAAATGCCATTTTAACATCGTTCAATGTGACACGGTTAATAGTTTTACATCAATCGCTCAGGTGTCTCAGAATGTTACAGTGCAGTGTCATGAAGCAAATAAAAGGTGATGTTAATGTGTTTCGGATGACTGAATGAACATAGCAGTGTTGCAAGAGGTATATCAAAGAACGTTTACAGCTGTCAGGCTATGTAAAAAGTTTTTAAACTACTCCAATCGTATGTATCAAAGACAACCTTTCAAAAGCAAACCACGTGTAAGTCCTAGCCTTTGACTAAATAGATTGATGTCGTACAGAGTCGGGTGCTTTTATCTCTTGATTTGACTGACACAATACATTGTTTCATTTATTCCGTCTTTGCGTATTGCAGAGTTATCTTTTCTTGGGAGCAGGTATTGATTGTTACGTCATTGGGCTGTGGGAGAAAATTACGTCGTTTTCTCAAAAATTGATGATGTTTCTTTTAAAAACAAGTGACGTAACAATCAATCCCTGCACCCAAGAGAAGATAACTCTGCAATACGCAAAGACGGAATATCAAAGATAGAATTTCTATGATCGAAACAAGATTAAAAAGATATGAATGCTAAGGATTCCTCTTCCACTGCCCTGTCGGTTTTTTGTATAAAGCATAACCTCTCCTTAATTTCTTTTCCGTAGTAGGTAGCACAGTCGGTTAAAGCGATATCATAGTTAGCCCCGCTAAATTGTTTTCCTCGGGAAACCTTTTGATTAATATATTTTGCTTTTTGTATCCTTCAGTTTTCATGCAAGTCCCGAATAGGTACGCATTTTTTTCCAGAAACGATGTTTTAAAGATAGTCATGCTAGAAAACAAGTGTTCAATTCGCAGCTACAGTTTTATTTTGCAGTCTTCCTGTGATACATAATTCGGGGATTTTTATTTGTGAAAGAAACACAGCAGAAAAACGAAGAAAAGAAATCGATGCAGAAAATACCGAACGAAATAACAGTTCTACTGCAACATAGGACAATTTCATCCTAATAGGACTCATCAGTGGTGCTTTAGGTAAATAGAATGAAAACACGCGCGTCAATTGTTCTAAACTATACGCGGAAATACAGCAAAAGTAAAAATATTTACAAAAGATCATTTGTTTTGTTTCATGTATTTTATTGATATGTGACAAGGTCAGGGCCAACATTTGGAACTGACAATCAACCAGCACAGTCGACTACCTTGTGATTGTAATTCGAAGAAAAAAAATCACTAGAAATACGAAGAGAGATGTACCTTTATGTTATAAGTTAAGGCGATGCAGAAAACGAAACAAAGCGAAAAGTTTTGCATTTACATAAATACTGGTAAGGTAATCGAAAAGTTTCTCTTATTAATATTTTGTGAAGCATGTACATACTGCCGAAACAACACTTTAACTATCAAGCTTTGTCATTAAACACTGCTTATACACAATACAGGGGAATACTAATCAAGTCATCAATTCCTCCCTTCAGGCACATATACATATTATGTACTTTCACTGTGCTAAGTTACAAAAAAAAACACCATCCAACAAACACCTAAAAAATAATGTTAACAAGGTTTTACTGGAGCAGAAATTTAAAGTTTCAAGGGCCATAACTACGTATAAATGGTCGATTCGCAATTTTTTATTCTTCACGTACATCTACAATAATTAATATAATTTCCCTGTTCAAGTTACATAAAATCCAACAAACAGTTAATAGATTCCTGGCAAAAGCCACGAACCAAATGTGGATACGATACTGGCTGTTCGGAAGAGTTATCATTCTCTGCAATGCATCTGCATTCATGTCCTTTAAAAGGAAATTAAACGTGTCTGCCACAAACTCAGCAATCCAAGACACTGTTAGTAATGTCATATGCTAAAATCTAGAAAGTATGTAATGACGATAACCATGTACTTCTGCAGCGTACATAAAAGTATTTCCAATAGAAAAATTTGGATTTGCTTTGCTTTTATTTTGTTTAACGTCCTATTAACAGCTAAGGTCATTTAAGGACGTGCCTCCATGTGTGTTGTTTATGTGTGTATGTTTGTATGTGTGCCGGAGACAGTGTATATTGGAGTACTTGCCTCCTTATAGCGCGGACCTGATGCTGACTTTAGAGTGATATCTCACTGATAAGTATTTAAATAATAACGAGGTACTTGGAACATGCTAGTAGGGAAGTCACATATGACATGTAAACTACCTACGAAGGGACAGGTGACGCATTACCACTAAGAAGACGACAGGTAACGACCGTGAAATAAAGTCATCGGGTTTTGTTATAAAATTAAAAAGAAAGGTGATCATTACAGTCCAGATGAAGATAAATGTCAAGTTATCGCTGACATAAAATTCGATATCAGATTAATGTATTTCATTTTTTCAGAATGTTGACAATTGAGCTTTCTATCATCTTAATGACTACTGAGTGAATAACGTTCGATCATAACGGACAGTTAGGTGAAGGGTTATCATGGTCTGACGTCAAAGTTTAGATACATGTCGATTTATATATATATATTTTTGGCAGATCGATGAGCATTTCATCATTTGATACAAGCCATGCTATGAACACTGTTCAAGGATCATATAACAATATTAAAATGTCTGTTTCATTTTACACAGATATTGATATTGAAGGTTAAAAAATATATCTACATTTTAGTAATCGTTATTTCAAGTAACTGTGCGTCAAATGAATAATTACTTACTTCAGAATATAAGATTTGTGATATGCTCTTATAACATGTCTTTTTTTTGTAAAATATTTCTTTCTGTTATCAATTTTATCATATAAATTTAATACCAAAGTCTGCACTTCTTTCGACAGTATTTTTCGCTTTTTTTCGTATATCTATGATTAAGGGAGAATAACTCTTACTGAAATACAGTAGTGATACTTTTATTTTTGGTTTTATAGTGCTAAACATCCTATCAACACCTTTGGTCATTTAAGGACTTGCCTCCTTGTGTGTAATACATGCATGAAGCAGGTTATGTTGGTGTATATGCCTTCTTGCGAAAGCGCGGATCTGATTCCACTTTTAGAGTGACACCTTACTGAAACACCATACCGATGGCACCGAACATAGTTTCCCGTCCGGTCACATTATACTGACAACGAGAAAACCAATAATGCGATCAACCTGATTCTGAAAGTTAAGCAGGGATTTAGTTTGGTTTGGTTTTATTTTGTTTTACTTCCTATTAACAGCTAAAGTCAATTAAGGACGTGCCTCCATGTGTGTTGTGCATGCGTGCTTGCGTGTGTGTGTGTGTGTGAGTGTGTGTGTGTGCGTGTGTGTGTGCGGAAGGCAGGATATGTTGGTGTAATTGCCTCCTTGTGATAAGGCGAATCTGATGCCGACTTTATAGTGCCATTTCACTGAAATACCACCCAACACAGCATTCCACCCGATCACATTAAACTGACAAAGAGTGAAAAGGTTGTTGCCGTTCCTCCTCATGTTGAACGTTAATCAGGGAATAACAACTACCAATTTGAAGGACGTTGGTATTCCCCGGCCTGGGTACAGAACCTTTTGCACTCCTTACCTGGGGGGAACGTTCAACATTGAAGCCGAAAGTGAGGCATTGCCAAATAAGGCATTAGAAAGTAAAACGAAGTTAAAAGTAGAAAGATATACAAGGATCTCAAAAACTGCAACGGGTGCAGCAGATTTATTTTGGTCGCTTTTGTGTCCACATATAGAGGGCACAAAGGCAAATCCCCAATTCAGCAAAGGTTTTCCACATAAGATGTCTCTTACGATACATGAAGTAGATAACAGCAACTGCGTTCTTTTTCTCGATCCACGACCTGCAAGGTTTGATAACAACTACTATTTGTTAAGGCTTGTTCATGTCCCGGAGACAGAACCATTATTTACCTTCGCGAAGGCTTAACACTACGGCAAAGAGTGAGGTATAAGCAAGGCGCTTGGAAACAAAACTTTGTTTTAGGACACAGCAAATCGATCTTTTGTTATCGTAAATGGACCTCCATGACACTCATTTCAGTGATTAAGGAACAATTACTCTTACTAAAATAGTGATATTTTTTAATTTAAAAGTAAATAGGAAAACAGCGGTTTGACGACATATCAGGTGTTTCCCAAATCAACATTTTCCACGTTGTTCGAGTTGTCGCCCATTACATAAACCTAAACCAAACTGACTGTGACCAAAGAACCTGCTATAGCTACTGTTTATTATTAAAACAAAACAAGTTTCGTGGTTTTTTATTATTATTCTTAATATTTAATATTTAAGTTCAAACGAGTAAAGTACTTTATTTTCGCAATGAAACGGTCTATCTAGTTGATCGACTATATCAATCTAACAAAGCTCAAATCGGCAAAAAGTATGGTTTTTTTCGCTGTTTTGTTATCTCATATTAGCCTGTTAACGTTGAAAATAGTAAATGTATAAGAGTCTTAGCACGCGGCATGTATGTAGTAGCAGGCCTTCGCCTATATTGCCTCCGGCTGAGACGAATAACATCCAAACCTCGGACGAGCATCTGACGTGGGCGGATTGGTCGAGTGGTTAACACTCCGGCCTTCCAAGCAGGCGGCCGGGGTTTTATCCCCGAAGTCGCCGTACGCATGGAATATTAGAGAAAGTGTTTTTCTTCTGCCCACACAACTCCAACAACCCAGGTGGAGTATAAAATGGTCTGGGGTGGGTGTTGCTGTATCTGTGCTGTAGCATTCAAGTGAGGTGGCGCCGTTGGAAGCACGGTTCCACTACAAACAGAACACAATACAACTCCAGCACACACGCAGGCATACACACATAGGGA